ACTGAAAAGCTGATTCAGCTATTCAGACGTAGCAGATTATCGACTAGTGTCATACACTGTAAGAAAAAACTTTTTTTCGGTTCTTTGTCTTGTATTGCTTGCTGCTGCCGTTCTTCTTGCATCTGTCGATTGTATCTCTCCGACTCTTGATATTCCTGTAAATGACGTTGAAAGTCAATATCCTCCTGCGTACGTAGTTGTACAATTCTTGACGTAATTGTTCATCAGCAATTCGTTGTTTTTCCATATCTTTTTCATCACGACGTACTGATGCTTCAACTCGAGCTCATTCTTCATCACGCATACGCTGCTCAAATGCAAGTTGCTCTTCCAACAATTGATGATTTCGTTCGTCCAAAATTCGCTTTTGTTCAGCCAATTTTTCTGCCTCAATTTGCTCCATTTCTCTTCGAACGCTACCTTCTTCTTGTCTTCTCTCATCAGTCCAACGACTCTCTTCTGCGACACGTACATTACTATTGAAATCTGTCTCAAATTGAGTCAGAAATTCCATGAAACTATCATTCAGAGTATTACCATTTGTGGTAGTCTCATCAGTATTCGTGTCAGTTACATTACTTGACTGATTGCGCGTCATTGAACGTGTTTTACAACACCACATGAAAGCTATCGCGGGTAAGATCAAACAATGAATTATTTATACCGTGCTGTATTGTTTTTTTAAACGGACAAAGTAACCGCACAAATAAGAATCGACTTCAGCTTTTTAATAAACAACTGCAACGTTCCTTTTTTTCAATAATATATCTGCACATGTTCTATATACGCTGATAAGATATTTTCATTTCAAGCTAGAAGGATATTCCGCTTCTCTTTATTCTCTCGTTTCATTTATCATTTCAAAATAACATCAAATATGTTTAAAAATGTATGGTATGCTGAAATGCTTCATCCAGCATGCCATATAGTACTCATTAATTTTCATCTTGTTATAATATTAATTTTTCCTTAAAATAGAGAACCAATAAATTGATTCTTTGTACATTTAAGTACTCTTATATGATCAGCTGTTTCAAAAACAATAAGACAAAGAACCGAAAAAAAGTTTTTTCTTACAGTGTATGACACTAGTCGATAATCTGCTACGTCTGAATAGCTGAATCAGCTTTTCAGTTTTTTCAGCTTTGAATCAGAGTCTGAATCAGCCCTAAAAAAGCTGAATTATTTTTCAAAAAAATTGTACCAGTTGTACCAGTTTGTAGAGTAATCTGAAGTATTTTTGAATTTGCTCATGCAATAAAAAGACATTAAAAAACAAACTTTAGCTTCTCGAAGTCGAAAGAAAATTTAGTGTTTACAGGAGCTTTTTTCTTCGAATAGCTGATTCAGACCTGGAAATCTGACCTACATCAGCTCTGAAAACTGAGAAATTGACACTTTCAGAAAATTCAGCTCTGATTCCCACATCGGAATCAGAGTTGGATGAGCTGATCAGTATTTTCAGCTCTCAATCCGAATGTGCATTTTAACGAGACCTGAACCAGTGAGTGCTGAAAACGCGAAAGCTGATTCAGCTATTCACAACTAGCCGATAATCGACTAGTGGAACTTGAAGAATAGTCTTGAGGAAAGTGAACGTTGATTGTAGAGGCAATTTTCTTATATATTTCTGGATTTTTGGTCACAATTTTATCTTAACACAGTTGTGAGGACATTTCACTCATACTTGTTGGAAAACAGAAGAATTCGGAAAGCTAAAAATGTAACAGATGAAAATTCGTGTAGGGCTTGTGGACGTAACCCTGCCAGAAAAAGTCAGTTCGTTACTTTTTGAAATAATTATAGCACACTTATTATCCTACAGTTTTCTTCTATACTTGCAAGGAAATAACGTGAAAGTCTGCACAATGTCTTATTTTGTGGAGTAAACTGCCTTTTTTGATATGACAATCAAACGAACTCTCATGAGCATTTATTTCAAAAGTTATAACTGAGTAAGTGAGTGACCCAGAAGTCACTTTTTACCTGATTTTTAGTAGCGTATCTCTATAGTCAGTGCGAGTAGCGTCTCTAAGAGTTCGTTTGATTGTCATATCAAAGAAGACAGTTTACTCTACAAAATAAGACATTACGCAGACTTTCATGTTTTTTCGTTGTGGAACCATAATTATTTCAAAACGTAACGGACTGACCAAAAAGGCGAGCCAGATTCCTGCGTTTGGCAGTACTATGAACGACTACAGGGAGGATCCCAACAGAATCGCGTTCAACAAGGAAATTCTATGCCAAGCCGTTCTTCTATGCCAAATCCAAATAACCAAAACCAGGAGAAATGTAACTGCACTATAGCATGCTCGA